GCACTTAAAGTCATGTGAGAACTACAAGCCCAAATCGCTGAACTTCAAGAAGACTTTGAATCTGAGAACGCATCACGAAACAAGGCAGAAAAACAGAAAAGGGACTTGAGTGAGGAACTGGAAGCTCTGGAAACAGAGCTGGAGGACATACTGGACACAACTGCAACCCAACAGGAACTCCATACAAAACGTGAGCAGGAAGTGGCTGAGCTTAAGAAGGCTCTTGAGGAAGAAACTAAGAACCATGAGGTGCAAATCCAGAACATGAGGCAGAGACATGCCAAGGCCCTGGAGGAGCTCTCCGAGCAGCTGGAGTGGGCGAAACGGTTCAAAGCAAATCTGGGGAAGAATAAACAGGGCTTGGAGACAGATAACAAGGAGCTGGCCTGTGAGGTGAAGGTCCTGCAGCAGGTCAAGGCTGAATCTGAACACAAGAGGAAGAAACTTGATGCCCAGGTCCAGGAGCTCCATGCCAAAGTCTCAGAAGGAGACACACTAAGGGTGGAACTGTCTGAGAAAGCAAATAAGTTACAGAATGAGCTAGATAATGTGTCCACACTTCTAGAAGAAGCAGAGAAGAAGGGTGTTAAATTTGCTAAGGACGCAGCTAGTCTGGAGTCTCAACTATAGGATACAAAGGAGCTTCTTCAGGAGGAAACGTGCCAAAAACTGAACCTGAGCAGTCAGATCCGGCAGCTGAGGAGGAGAAGAACAGTCTGCAGGAGCAGCAGGAGGAGGAGGCCCGGAAAAATCTAGAGAAGCAGGTGTTAGCCCTGCAGTCCCAGTTGACTGATACCAAGAAGAGGGTAGATGATGATTTGGGAACAATTGAAAGTTTGGAAGAAGCCAAAAAGAAGCTTCTTAAAGACGTGGAGGCACTGAGCCAGCATCTGGAGGAGAAGGCTTTGGTTTATGACAAGCTGGAGAAGACCAAGAACCGCCTGCAGCAGGAGCTGGATGACCTGATGGTCGACCTGGACCACCAGTGCCAGATCGTCTCCAACTTGGAGAAGAAGCAGAAGAAGTTTGACCAGCTGTTAGCAGAGGAGAAGAACATCTCTGCTCGCTATGCAGAGGAGCAGGACCATGCGAAGCAGAGGCCCGAGAGAAGGAGACCAAAGCCCTGTCCCTGGCCTGGGCCCTCGAGGAAGCCCTGTAGGCCAAGGAAGAGTTTGAGCGGCAGAGCAAGCAGCTGCACGTGGACATGGAGGACCTGATCAGCTCCAAGGACCACGTGGGCAAGAACATTCATGAACTTGAAAAATCCAAACCGGCCCTAGAGCAGCAGGTGGAGGAAATGAGGACCCAACTGGAGGAGCTGGAAGATGAACTTCAGGCTACAGAAGATGCCAAGCTTCACCTGGAGGTCAACATGCAGGCCATGAAGGCCCAGTTCGAGAGGGACCTGCAGACCAGAGATAAGCAGAGTAAGAAGAAGCAGCTGCTGATTAAGCAGGTCCGGGAGCTGGAGGCAGAGCTGGAGGATGAGCGTAAACAGCGGGCTCTTGCTGTTGCGTCAGAGAAGAAAATGGAAATCGACCTGAAAGGCCTTGAAGCCGAAATCGAGGCTGCGAACAAAGCTCGGGATGAAGTGATCAAGCAGCTTCGCAAACTGCAGGCTCAGATGAAAGATTACCAACGTGAATTAGAAGAAGCTCGTGCCTCCCGGGATGAGATTTTTGCTCAATCCAAAGAGAGCGAGAAGAAATTGAAGAGTCTGGAAGCAGAAATACTTCAGTTGCAGGAGGAACTTGCCTCATCCGAGCATGCCCGCCGACATGCCGAGCAAGAAAGGGATGAGCTGGCTGATGAGATCGCCAACAGTGCTTCTGGCAAGTCTGCACTGCTGGATGAGAAGCAGCTTCTGGAGGCCTGGATCGCACAGCTGGAGGAGGAACTGGAAGAGGAGCAGAGCAACATGGAATTGCTCAACGATAGTTTCCGCAAGACAACTCTGCAGGTGGACACACTGAATGCAGAGCTGGCGGCCGAGTGCAGTGCTGCCCAGAAGAGTGACAATGCGCGCCAGCAGCTGGAGCGGCAGAACAAGGAGCTAAAGGCCAAGCTGCAGGAGCTGGAGGGTGCTGTCAAGTCCAAATTCAAGGCCACCATCTCAGCCCTAGAAGCCAAGATAAGGCAGCTGGAGGAACAGCTGGAGCAGAAAGCCAAGGAACGAGCCGCTGCCAATAAACTAGTGCGTCGTACCGAGAATAAGCTAAAGTAAATCTTCATGCAGGTTGAAGATGAGCGTCGGCATGCAGATCAGTATAAAGAACAGATGGAGAAGGCCAACGCCAGGATGAAGCAGCTTAAACGTCAGTTGGAGGAAGCAGAAGAAGAAGCTACACGTGCCAATGCATCTCGGCGTAAACTCCGGTGGGAACTGGACGATGCCACCGAGGCCAAAGAGGGCCTGAGCCGCGAAGTCAGCACCCTCAAGAACCGGCTGAGGCAGGGTGGCCCAGTCAACTTCTCTTCCAGCCGATCTGACCGGCGCCAGCTGCACATCGAGGGGGCTTCCCTGGAGCTGTCAGACGATGACACAGAAAGTAAGACCAGTGATGTCAAGGAGACTCAGCCGCCCCCATCAGAGTAGAGCCGTAGGAAGCTGGTGGAGGCCATACAGTGGGACACAGGAACTCACCCGACGCTGGCCTGCCTTGGGGCCTCCTACAGATTAGGAATTGGCACACTACAGGATTCGTTGTAGAAAGATCAACTGTGTCTTAAGGCTTTCCCGCCTCCCCATACTGTATCCTGCTTCAACTTTAGGTACAATTGCTCCCCTTTATATATATATATGGGAGCTCTGGTAGCATAGTGGCTAAGACACTTGACTGCTAACCAGAAGGCTGGCGGTTCAAACCCACCAGCCACTCCTCAGAAAGAAGGTTGGGCAATCTACTTCCATAGTGATACCGCCTCAGAAACCCAAGGAGGGTTCGCTATGAATCAGATCCGACTGACGGCAATGTGTTTTGTTGGTTTTTTATACATCATCTGGTATCTTGACTGCTGCTTCCATTGGTGTTGATTGTAAAATCAAGTAATATGAAGTCTTTGACAACTTCAATCTTTTCTCCTTTTATTGTGATGCTGCTTATTGGTTCAGTTGTGAGGATTTTTGTTTCTTTATATTGAGTTGTAATCAATCAGTCTTCAGCGGTAAGTACTTCAAGTCATCCTCACACTCAGCAAGCAAAGTTGTGTCATCAGCATATCACAGGTTGTTAATGATTCTTCCTCCAATCGTGATGCCACATTCTTCTTCATATAGTCCAGCTTCTCAGATTATTTGCTCAGCATAGAAATTGAATAAGTATGGTGAAAGGGTATAACCCTGACACACTCCCTTCCTGATTTTAAACCTGGTCTATGTACAGGCTCCTCATGAGTCCAAATAAGTGCTCTGGCATTCTCATTCTTCTCAAAGTTATCCACAATTTGTTATGATCCACACAATCAAATGGTTTTACATAGTCAATAAAACACAAGTAAATACGTTTCTGGTATGCTTTGCTTTCAGCCAAGATCCATCTGACATCAGCAATGATATTTCTCAGTTCACATCCTCTTCTGAATCCAGCTTGCATTTCTGGAAGTTTTCTGTCAATATACTGCTGCAACCATTTTTGAATTATCTAAAATTTTACTTTCATGCAATATTAGTGATATTGTTCAATGATTTCCACATTCTATGAGGTCATGTTTCTTTGGAAGGGGTACAAATATGGATCTATTCCAGTCAGTTGGCCAGGTCTTCCAAATCTCCTGGCATAGCTGAGTGAGTGCCTCCAGTGCAGCATCCATTTGTTGAAACATTTCAATGGGTATGCCGTCAATTCCTGGAGCCTTGTTTTTTGCCACTTCCTTCAGTGCACCTTTGACTTCTTCCTTCAATACCATTGGTTCTTCATCATATGCCACCGCTTCAAATGGGTGAACATTGACCAATTATTTTTGGTACGGTGACTCTGTGTGTTCCTTCCATCTTCTCTTGATGTTTCCTGCATCATTCAATATTTTGCCCATAGACTCTTTCAATATTGCAACTCGAGGCTTAAAATTTTTCTTCAGTTCTTTCAGCTTGAGTAATGCCAAGCATGCTCTTCCCTTTTGGTTTTGTAACTCCAGGTCTTTGCATATTTAATTATAATAATTGACTTTGTCTTCTTGAGCTGCTCTTTGAAATCTT